CACAGACTTTGACACTGTTTCATAGTCGACCTAAATGTATAAATAAGCATTATGTGTAACGTTTTAGGACCTGGACCCGAACTTGGATCTCTAGTTTGGGATCCTAATTCTCTTCTAGAGTCGGACCTCGTACTTTCTGGATGCTTGTAGAATGCAGGTTCTACTTCATATCAAGTCTTCTTTTTTTACTCAATGGGGTTTGGGACACTCGGATTAGAGTAGCATATCGTGTCGCCGGATCCTCGATCTTCGCTCTCGTTTTCCGACTAGGTAAACTCATAATAGTTCAAGTATATCAAATGACATGTTTACGTTCATGCGTGACAGTTTGCACTACCGCATTATTGATAATTTCACTGAAATTTGACCAATCTTGAAGGCTGGTGAAGGTTGCCCCGTAATAACCACCATTGCAAAATTTTATATATGGAACTCAAGACCGTCTGTGTCACCCACGAACGCTGTTGTGGACGTTAGATCCTCTAGAACTCACTTCATAACGGTCCCAATTTTAGATTTTGTGTTTTCGCGCATCATTTGCTTAGTTGACCTTGAGATTACATTTTCCACCAAGAAAATCCTTGACTGTTATTGGTTGATGTATTATTTTAGTACGCTTTTTTGTGGCTCTGCCAAAGACGTTTCTATGATGGATAAATAAACTCGATTTATATGCTTGTCATCCTCATATTTTCCCGGGTGCTTGTAGAATACACTTTCTACGTTTGAACAAGACTTTTTGTTATAGTTATCAGGGCTAGAGACAATCGAATCAGAATAGCCTATTGTGTCACTATATCGTTGATCTTCGTTCTGTTTACCGAATAAGATGAACTCGTTACAACATTCAAGCATATCAGCTGCTGAGCATATCAAACGCCTACAATCTTGATCACGACTTAGTCGATATCCAACTATGTTCGTGTTTAGCCTTAATCAATCCAGGTTTCCAATGGTGGTCTAACATTGGTCGATTCCTAAATTTTTAGGATATTCATCCAATATGCTAAGAGAAATATTGGTCTATTCCTACTGGTCAACTTCATGGTCGTCCTGGATACCAATGTCACGTGCTCCAATGTTGTTCCTTATTGGTTGTCCTGACTATCAATGTCACTTCAAATATTGCTTCCTATTGGTCGTCTTAACTGTCAATATCACAGACTTCGATGCTGTTTCCTATACGACCAAAATGTTTAAATACGTATTATCTGTAACGCTTTATGACCAAGACCAGGACTCGGTCCCGGATCCCTAGTCCGGGATCCTGAATCACTTCTGAATTCAGACCTCGTACTTTCTGGATGCTTGTAGAATACAAGTTCTACTTCATATCAAATCTTATCTTCTTATTTTTACTCAATATGGAGTTTGGGATAATCGGATTGGAGTAGCATTTCGTGTTACCGGATCCTCGATCCTCGCTCTCGTATTCAGACTAAGGTAAACTCGTAATAGTTTAAGTATATCAAGTTGATGTGTTTACGTGCAGGCGTAACATGAATCCAATGAAACTCATCAATCCCGACAATCATATAATGACAGACAGAAATACAATTTGTCATTCAACACTTCTATTCATCATTTGCGCTGTTTTTTTTCAAGAAAAAATCTTACCACTGTGTATTGATTCAATATTGATTATTTTTGATCATGACATTGCTAGGTTTAACATCTATCGATTTTTCTAAAGAAGTCATACTCTTTAGCCTTACAAACTGATGTGCTGAACAATTTTTCATTGACCTGATTCTCATTTGGGTCAAGCTTAATATTGCTGCTTAAGTGTCATTTTATTATGTTATGAATAGATCAAAGATCATAATGCGTAAAATTCATCATTCAATAAGCACTAAGTTAATAATAATCTTGATTTAAAACATTATACTTATTGTGTAGTGTTTTGAATTGTCAGAGAGAACAGTTTGTTTCATGAAGAACTTCATTGTCCATGGAATGTTGAGGTCAGTAGGGTAATCGTAATGTTCCGCAAGTGCACAATGATTTTTACAAACCTCATTGTTATTCCTATGTAGGTTTTGGCAGTGCAGGAAATAAAGTCAGCTCATTATTAACTTACTTACTTACTTACTTACTTACTTACTTACTTACTTACTTACTTACTTATTTACTTACTTACTTACGGCTGTTACCCCCAGTCGAGCATAGGCCACCGACTAGTGTTTTGCAACCTTACTTTATCTTGGGATTCCCTTTCTGGTTCTATCCGATTTTTGTTCATTCTTATCATATCTCTCTCTGTTTCTCGGCATAATGTGTTTCCTAGTGAGGGCTTGTCATGTGACGCAGTTTGGCGCTTTCCACGTTGTGTGTCCTATCCACTTCCGGCGCTTCTTCCTGATTTCCTCCTCGACTGGAATCTGTTTTGTTCTTTCCTACAGTGTTTTGTTTTTGAAGGTGTCTGGCCAACGGAGCTGATTATTAAAACTACTGCTTTTTCATTACAGGGATATTGAACCGCTTGCTTCAAGGAGGTAGTCTTTGGCTGCTTCGGTGATAAATTGAAGTCTACTGACATTAGTCTAGTAACTATACCATCTAGATATCTTATAATTCGAAAATAGGATCACTAGACTTGTATGTTCTGAGACGTTGAAGTAGTACTCGGAGTAGTAATAGTAGTAGTAGTAGTAGTAATAGTGCGAGTAGCAGTAGTATAACGTATTTCTTTTCGAATTAACACCCAAATCAGTATCAGTATACCTTAGTTGAAACTAATGACTGGTTTTTCGTTATCATCAGCAGTATACACTGTATTCAAATACCTTAACTGCAGTTCATCTTCCCTAACATCTTGAATTTTGACACTTTTCCACTCTCCCACTCCCCACATGTAACTTTCTGGAACTATTTTTGGGAAATGTAAACAATTCGCCTTTCATTAGGATAATTTAATTTTATTTATCAATGTTTTGTATACGCTCCTAGTTTTACCATAAATGATTTGAACCAATTAAATCTGTCAACCAATAAGAAAAGAGATAATAAAACTACAAGGTCAGGATAGAAGACAATGGAAAACAAACATACATACAACAACCACACACAGTTATGGATAACAAAGGAGGAAACCCCAGATCAACAGAATAAGCTATTACCTGGAATACAAAGGTTATTTATTGGTTGAAATTCCTAAACTGGGATAACATCTCTCTTAACAGAAGTGCTTACACGAAAATCCGCCATTTGAAAGTTTCTTGCCCTGTGTTTTTCGCATATCTTTAATTTTGACAAGAGTAATTTTCCTCAGAAACGTATCTCCCTATAAAATACAAGGGATTTTTGTCTTGCTTTGAAGTACTATTTACCAGTAGATTTATCCATCCCATCCTAAGATCACATCGATGGATATTATCAATCCTATATTGTGAACTTTTTGGCATGCACTGAATGAAGTTACACATATTTTGAAATCGTGAATCAATTCATTGTTAGACTACCATTAGAAACCTCGAAGCACTGAAAGACAGCCGTTCCGTCCTGGTTTGAGATTCATCAGCAGTGAGCATCTACCACTCCTGCACCCTGCACGATTCGAACGCCTAATCTCTGGACCACTGAGCCAGTATCTAACGGAGATAATGTCTAACTTGATGAAGTTGTTGAAAGTAGTCGATGCATAAATACCCTGTCTTTACTTTACTAGGAAACACGATCTAAATAACTTTTTTACCTGGTTAAGAAAACCTTCTAAGCATTCAATTTACACCGGAATGAAAAAGTCGCTACTTTACACTAATTTCTATAACCGTTTAATTGACTATCCCGTATCGTGAATCTTCTTTTAAGTCACTGTTACTTTTAAGTTCTTAGCTGGAATAAACTTCATCTATGGTTGATTTATTTCTGTGTGCAAGTTTATTCTTCAGGCTCTCAGTAGACTACTTTCGTAGATCAATTAATGACTGTCGATTTATCAAAGGTTTGTGATGAATGTCATATGTGTCACGTACATCTTAGCGCTGTGCAGATTCTATTGATCAAGTTGCACTATGATCAACAATGTATGCGTTAAGATCTAAAACTCCGGTTGGACATAGTTATCAGGAAATTCAGGACCTAGATTAAGAAGGATCAGACACGTAAGATATCAGTCACTAGCCAATGACTGACTACTTGTAAATGCACCACTATTCTATATGGAATCAACCCCGTGTCCTCCTGATAGCTCACTAGTGAAAAACACATTGAAATCTTGAAATTAACAGAAACTGAATTTCGATAAATTTTTCTTTTAACTACTAGATAATCACATTAAAACAAATATCCATTACGAAATTGAACTCTTTTACACTTTTTAATGTACAACTTTTACTATATAAATATCAATTCTTAGAATTCATAAAATATCAGTCATTAGATCAACAATTTTCAAATACATTCATTCACTCAACATTATATACAATTTGAAATAAAAATCCTACAACTTTTTGTTCATACAATTTAACTACTGATATAAGTTTAAAAGTAGTATAAATCAAAAAAGAGAAAAAAATAAGTCAATAAAAAAAATAAACGGCATTCAATTTATCCACAAGAATATCAAGAGAGTTGTAATAAAGAAAATTAAAATCATTGAAACTTTCAATTTATTCACATGATTACAACCATTAAAATCATTACAATAACAAAAACGTTTAAAATTCATATTTTCATCACTAAATAATCCCATTGCTGTATCGACTAATGTTTTACCTTTTAATACACCTAATAAATAATGTTGATAATCACGAGAATTTACACAGTAACCATGACGACGAAGTTGTGGCATATCTAAACGATATTGTGTATTCATGATAAGATCACTTAAACAACCACGTGTAACAGTAGTTTGATCTGTATTTTACCAAAAAGGAAATCAATGAAATTGAAGGGTTATGATATCATGATGGATGAACATAAGATTTATCAATCATAGCAAGGGGGAAATACTTTTTAAATACTTAGGAAGAAATTAGTTATCCAACCAACTAATGAATTTGGTAGTATGTTTATTCAGTTGATAGTCAGCTAGCTACCTTGACGTGGTGGTCGGGCTTGCCTATCGTGATGACCCAACCGAGCTATACTGCCTGGAACATATGTTCCTCAAGGTTCTACCATGCCAGACAGGTCGATTGGAGAACGATGAGACTAAAAGCAGCTACTCAAGGTCTGAGGGCGAAGTCGTACTGCTGACTGTGATGGAGGGGTGTGACACCAGTAAAGTGTTGCCCTCGGACAACAAGCAGCATCTGCAGCGATGCTGCCTTCTGACAAGAAATGAAGGGTTAGTAAAGGTCGGCCTTAAAAATGTCACACCTCCCCTACCTCACGGATTTCCGTCTCCTTGGGTAAGGGTGCCCACTAAGGGCCTTTAAGAGCGGAGCCAATCCTCAAAAACCTTTAATAAAAAGGCCGTGCGTGACCGGCCCCAAGGAGTTGTCCCCTGGGCTGTGCGGTCGCGAACCAGCACTAACCTGTCTGGCTTGTCAGGTTCCTCACGAAACAACCTTCCACGGTGTGGGCCGCCGGGAAGTGACAACCGCCCTCATACCATAACAGCACGCGAGACCGAATTGGTCAAAATCAAATCCTTCCTACACCCCCTAGTACCTCTCTTATCTCCACGACTAACTCTTCTCACATTCATTCATCACAATGCACAGCTAAGGCAGACGATACGAGTTCGCGAAACGTCGTTCCTGGTCTCCTTAAACCTCGCTCTAGACTACATATTGGAGCTTTTAATGTACGGACATTGTGTCAAATAGGGCAACAGGCATCATTAGCTAGGACTTTAGAAACTCGTGCCATCGATGTATGCTGCGTCTCGGAAACGCGCATACAGGATCCGAGTCGCGTCATACACTTGGCCACACCATGTCAAAATAAAGAAGCAGCTCGATTTACTCTTCGTGTATCCGGTAGCTCTGATGCTGCTTCCCGGGGTCTTGCTGGCGTAGGCATAGCATTGAGTCGTAGGGCAGAACAATCTCTCCTTGACTGGATCCCTGTAGATAGTCGATTGTGCGCTGTCCGACTAAACGGGACAGTAAAGACTCGGAAAGATAGGGACAATCGCCGTTGCCTCTTCATCGTATCTGCCTATGCCCCCACTGAATGCAGTTCAGACGAGGTTAAGGATGAGTTTTACAGAAAGCTCTCGGACCTCCTCCAAAAAGCTAGGCGCTCTGATATAGAGACATTGAATGACATGGCTGAAAACCGTTTGCAGTGGCGCCGGTGCATTTATGCTTTGTGTTCTCCCAAATCCTAATCTTCTGGATTCTTTAACGCCTCTAGTTTTTACTTTCTAAACTTTTCTCACTGAATCATACTTCTTGAATAATATCTTCTAATCCTAACCTCTCGGATTACTTCTAATACCTTTACTACCTCTTCTACTATTGGATTTGAATTGACAATTATATCTCTGTGCTAATAATGTGGTATGGCGACATGAACTGATGTACTTACGTACGAAGTTCTACGTTGCTACTGACTGACTGACTGATAGTCAGAGCTTTCAATCTTTGTCATTTCCCGAATATTAATGCATGTAGCTTTAATAAATGCTAACTATGAAATCATAGTTCCTTTCGGGGGATACTGTGCATCAAAGTCACATAACACAGTCAGTTATATTATAGGACAGTTTCCACAACAACATTGAAACTCATGAGCCACAAAATAAACTTTGCGATTAAGTTTTAACTACTTATAAGTAGTATAGTTCTATTCTCATTTTTTCTTTTTTGATGACATTTAAAAGCTTGCTCGAAGAATAAATGCTTCCATATGATAACTTTGACATATTTGAACAGAATTTAGTTGTCTCGTCTTATTGTACAATTTTCTAGTTATCAAGGAATACATTACCTTTCCTGAAGTTTTTAAACAAAGTTACAATTCCTTTTAATTTAATGTCATTCCGATTTCTAAGCTATTGTACTCACTTTCAGATTGTAAATAGACAACTAGTGTGGTCGATCAACCGAATAAAATCAGAGAACGCCAAAGCACAGCTTGAATACACAGAAGCAAACAGGGAAGTGAAGAAGAGCATCAGAGCTAAAAAGCGTAAATCTGTGGAAGATCTAGCTGTGACAGCAGAAAAGGCTAAGGGGAGAAGGAAACCCGAGATAGTTGTACGATACAACATAGAAGCTCGCTGGAAATTATCGTAAACCAGAATGACTAGTGAAAAACAAGGAAGGCAAAGCAATCACCGAGACCCAAGAACAGATAAACAAGTGAGTGGAGCACTTTGAAGAGCTGTTGAATTGGCCAGCCTCACTGAACTTCATTACCCCATACACCACACAGAACTAGACTAGTCCAACCGTAGATGCTTAACTCTTATTCTCCTCCTACGATTGTGATAAGTATACCTCACCTCGTAGTGCTATAGACATCACTGGCTGTAGTTGTTGAGCTAGAGAGACTCTTACGTGCCCCTCAGCTGTCGGTGCCCGTTAGCTCTGGATTGAGTTCAGT